TTAGGTTATCAGAGCAGGTCCACTGAGAGCCACTTCACTCTTAGGAAGATATGTGTTGATATTGATATGTAAGGTTTGTAAAAGGATATGCAAATGAAATGTCACTGGAGATCAGACCAAATAAAGCTTTGGGGTCCAGAAGGTTAATTCTTCATGTATGACGGATTTGAGATCAGATTTTCCCTGTTCCCTCTCATGTTTTGTGGTTGGAAAACGGGCACTGAGAAGTTATCCATGGACTTGATTAATGGACGTATGAGAGTCCTCAAAAGAAGGAAGAGTGTGACAGCACCCATGTGAGACTCTGGGCAGGTCATGGTTTCTAAAGCATGAAAATAGTCATGGATTCAGGCTGCACACTCAGCAGAGCCTGTCTACTCGCTCACTCCAATAAGAGTGCCAGCTCAGGGGAAAGAAGTTGTTTTGAAGAGGAGAAGAAGGAGTGCAGTTACTCTGGCTGCTGTCACTAGGTAGCCGTGGCTTGCCAATCATGTACTGTATCTTGCAACATTTTTGAAGTATTCAGGTTCTGAAATAAATAAATGAAATTGGTTTTAGACCCCAGCAGTACAATTAACAATACTGATGGTAAGGGAGTCTGAGGTGGATGATCGGCGGGTGGAGGGTGTAAAATGCTTCAATGCATCTCAATACACCAATCTCAAGGTGGTGGTTCAACTGCATAGATTTTAGAATGTTATAATTGATTGTAATTGATTGTAGTAGTATTGAATAGGATATTTAGGCCAAGGGCTACTGGGTGAGACAGCTGTCTATCCTAGCTAGCGGGGAAATTGAAAAAAAGGATTGGAATGGGTTTTTACTTTCTATTCCACAACTGTGTAATGTTGAATGTATGTCAAGTCATATACGCCTATTCAGTGTATTTTTTAAAAATAATTGTGGATTGTAACAACGTATTCGAAGCATTGAATAATTTACTAGAAAATAGTAATCCAATCATTATGAAGTCAGAGATTTACTCTCTTAGTTACTTAGTTAAACACTTGTTCTGATATTTAGTTGAGCTCAATATGCAGTGTCTCTTGTTTCCTTCTCTGGATGTGTATTTAACATCATTCACATGGGCCTTCATCAAATGCACCAGTTTTGATTTCCTGTAGTCTTTAAATGAATCTAGATCATTTTAAAGGGATGTTTTCAAAAGCCTTTGAACTTTACCATGTTAAATTATGATCATTGTAGACTAGACCCATGATAGTGTAAGAGTCAGTGCCGACTCTACCTAATAAGTGACATAAGCAGCTACTTAGAGCTAATTGGGAAGATAAGGAGAGAAAACCTAATGATGAAGGTATGCTTTTTATGTGTTTTTGTAAACTTTCTTTGTAAATCCAGGTTTAGATACTGTTGTTATTCCTCGTGCGTGTGCACATGAAAGCATGACATTTATTACAAACAGCCAATCATGTAAAATGTGAGAAGTATTTATATCGGAAAAAAGCAATGCTACTGCCCACTGCCACCAGGGTTAGCTCACACTAAGCTTAACGTTAGCTGGGTAAGCAAGATATACTGCATTGGGAGACAGAGCCCTGGATCGAGAGCACCGAGAAGATTATCTGTAATTTAAACTAACTTATTATAACCCCAAACTAACATCCAATCATCAGCAATACACAATTAGCCAGTCATAAACTGAGGTAATTTCTAATTTTACTGTATTTCAGCTAGCAAGATGGGGGGGGCCACCAAAAATCCTGCTTAGGGCCCCAAAAGGCTAGAGCCAGCCCTGGTGAGAGTAAATATTAAAGGATAACCAGGGAGTGATCAACAAAACCTTTTAACATATCATCGCTGTCCAAAAAACATGTATCTCTATTTTTGTCGATTTTTATTTTTCTAAATCATTTCAACACCCCAGCTGTCCTTTACCTTGTGTGAAAATTTCATGATGAATGGACCAATAGAAATGCTCTAAAATCACTTAGAATTAAACCCCTTTTATATTAACTTACATTAAAAGGTAAGAGTGTTTTTGCCTTCTCCTGTAAAGTTACTATTTTGGAGATACTTGTTTTTCTTTGGACAGCGACGATATGTTTGCATATCATGGAAAACCTAATTTTCCTCACTTTTTAAAAATAAGATAGTTTTGTGGAATTCAATTATAAAAACTTTAAATTGTACCGTTCACTTCCCAGTGCACATGGTCCATATGTGTAAATAGCCCTTTTTGAATGAATTGCTTTTGTGATGTCACAAAAACCAGCACACTGAAATTATGAGGAGTGTTTCAGCTTGGACTGCTTTTTTAATGAAGGACATTACAGGACAGGCAATTAGAATGAAGCTCATTTACATACATAAGTCTTAAAGGCACAGTAATAAAAACAGCCTGTTTAATTTTGAGATGTTAAAAATGTCAAAAAAAAATGGTCATGTAAAAATGAATGACATTTTTGGTTCATAAAACTATCTAAACATCATAAGTGGACTATGTAGGATTGTGCTGTTTAGATACAGATACACAAGTCACCAGAACGGAGCTCTGTATCAATCAAACGTTAAACTAACATTAGGTGCCGGCAGGGCTGTTAATATCAATGGTAATTACATTTGCACAGTGTGTCCTTGGTGAGCATCGCCAGAAATGAGCTGCTTCTCTGTCAGCATCTCTTAATGGTTCTTTGATGTATACAGAAACTCCACAGAGGCCTCTGCCTTTCAAAGCAGTTGTATTCAGTAATTCTCTGTCACATCCTAGTTTTAGATTGAATGTGGGTTGCTGGGTGGATTGGCAGAAGCTGATTCACATTCTTTTCTTTCAGACATGCAAGGACTGTGAAGGAACTTATCTGGAATAGACAGCAGTTCGTAGCCTTGTGTGTATAAGATGCATAGGACACGGCTATGCTTTTAGGAGAAGTCAAAAGAACTGTCACATCTTTACATCTGACTAGATCACAGAAAGCACTATAGCACAGGTAATAATCTCTTTTACTACTACATCACACTTGAATACCAAAATGCCAACACATTGTGTGAAAGCATTAATATAAATAAGGGAAAGCTGTCTCTTCTCAAGGAAGACAGACAGTACAAAGAAAGACTCACATTTATCTCTTTCTCACAGCTAGAGAGATCTTTTAAGCCCTCTGTCTGGACTATCGACATTTGAGACAAGAGTTTAGAGCCACTCAATGAAACACTCGTCCGCTGTGGCCGAATAAATCAGAGTGACAGGGCTATTGTTGTTTATTTATTTCTCTTTTTTCTTGGCCATTATGCCAGCTACTGTGAGATGTGTTTTTGGAGTGTGTGTGTGTGTGTGTGTGTGTGTGTGTGAACATGCTCTTTTGTTGCACATGCTTTTAATGCTAACTTGGCAGTCTCTTAATCGTCTGTGAGGCATCTTCACAGTAGCTGGGCGGATGGCTTTGTTAAGCAGTGTTGTGAATTTATGTTGTGCTGTAAAGTGTGTAGGAGGGAGACGCTCGGCTCGAGTCTCTGGAGAGTTAGGCGTGGATAAATTCTGGCTTAAATACACACACACATCCTCTGTACAAAAATGAATAAGCAAACACGGACACAAACATCAATATAAACATGGAAGCAAACCACTTAGCACACTGAGGAATGTGTTGAGTAAAAATATGTTGATTAGTCATGAGTGCAAAAGTCAGAGACCACTGCTCATTAAAGCTACAAGTTATTAATTTCTCAGCATCAGGAAAATGAGCAGAACACGCATAGTTCACAGAAAATTTCACAGAAACCTCAACAAGGTCATACTGTTCCAGTATTTATTGTTTTCACCCTTTGCCTTTATTAGAGCTTCCATTCTTTTCAGGTGATTGCTGTCACCTGAGCGATATTTTTCCACACTTCCAGTTCAGTCTTAGAAGTTGGTTGCATTTTCTGCTTCTCACAATGCGAGTAATCCCCAACATATTCAGTGATGGTCAGTCTTTTCTTCTGAGAACACCAGCAGCTTCTTAGTTTGATTATTTTTTGTCTATTTCTTTTTCTCAGTCTTGAGTTGTCTTCTCACACTAAAGGTATGGACAGAAATACCTGTGGTTTCTGTGTTTTTTCAGATCTGAAGCAAGAGTGAAGCTTGATTCTCACCTATTTGCCAAATATGGTTTATCTGATGGTGACAGTTTTTGGTGGTCTACCAGGTCTTCTTGTTAACAGTCCCATTTTCTCTATGTTTTAAAAAATTTTTATACTCCAGTTTTTTTCCTTGTTTTTCTTTTTTCACTTACACTCTTTTAACTTTCCCCTTCTTTATGCAAGTGGATTATCTTATATCTAATCTCCTCAGAAATGTCTCCTGAAAAATAATTAACTTTCAGTTAATGGTTGTTTAGACTTAAAATGAAATAAATGAAGTCTGGCCTCTTACATTTGCACTGCACTGTACCTAATATACTGATTATTTTCATTAAGCTCACTGATCACTAAAAAGCATTTTTGTTTTTTTAGTGCACTCACACATTTCATAACAAATTCTTGTTCACACATCACTCATATATCATCACTGTCATATCACCTCGTATCTCACTCAAAAACATAACATTTAATGTAAGTTAATGTAACAGAATTTTTATCATTTTAATTAGTTACATTAGTACATTGATCATGAAATATTTATGTAACGTAAAGGGCAATGAGCATCTTCAAATGGTGTACATAAATAAATAACCGAAAAAAATTACAGTCTTATTGAGCAGCCATTAAAATTCCTCCTACAGTGCACTATCACAATATACTGTAGCTTAGTGCTTCACTGTATTAGTGGAGTGAAGTGTTTCTGTGTGGAACTTGTTTTTCAATCGACTTGCTTTCTTCCAGAGGCACTCAGGAGTTCAGCACTCGGTTTGGAAGCTTCAGATGAGCCACTTTGGCTCTGACTCAGTGTGTGCTTTTGTTCTTTGGCACTGAAAGTGTGTGTACGTCTGTCTGTGTGTCTGTGCAGGGTCTGCGCAGGTGTTTGCAGTCAATTTATTGAAGTTGTTTGCTTGTTTTTTTAGGGAGAAGATGCCTTTTCACCATGTGAGAGCAGGGTTGCTGTACACAGACAACTACCTGACCCACTCTCTCTCTGAAATCAGCGAGGAGCAGCTAGCCAGCATCTCCACTGAAGAGCTTGGTGGTGAGTGATGTTTGTGAGTGTGTTGATTACTACACCTACCATATAAGTGCACTTTGTAAGTGTACAATTACCAGTGTTGGGGTAGTAACTCAGAAAAATGTAACCTCTTTACTCATTCCTTTACTTATGTGTTACACTTTAAAACCCACACAAATCTTTACCGGCTAGAAAGTACAAGGAAAATCTAGTAGTTTTTTTTTAGTATTTTATCTAGAAACAGCCAATCACATTAAACATCATTTAAAAGCCTTGCCCTTCCAGTTATGCTTGATTAAAATTATAAACAGCTGATGCTAATGCAATTTGAAAGAATCTAGTCAGTAGAAGCAGTTCCAAATCAGCAGCCTTGAAAAAAAAACAATCGTGAGTAAAATATAAAGCTGAATGAAACTCAAAGTTGGCCTGGTTTGGTGAGGTTAGGTGTCTCTCTTTCAGCTTATTACAGCTCGTTGTCCATCAGTTTCATATTAGCAACATTAGAGTTTACATATATTCTACCGGGGTGGATTAACACACAGGCTAATCTACACTTCAGCCTGTGGCCCCACACAGGGATTGAGGCCCACTGAATGGCCAGATATATATATATATATATTTGTAACAAAAAACTTGAGCCCTCATTGGCTCATTATAATGACTTAATGAGTTCAGGATTGGTTAGTTTGGAAAGATTTGTAGTGTGTAGAAAATGTCTATTAAATGTATATTGGCTAAACGCTAAGAGGGTTAGCTGCAGCTCACTGTAGGCTTGACGCAAACTACACTATTTGCGCTCATGGAAAGCCAGGTGGCGCCACTGAATCCAACAAAGAAAATGAGGCAGAGGCAGAGACACCAGAAGCTGCCACGGCCTCCACAATTCCAACTGCTGCAGCAGAGCTCACATTAACAAACGCTGCAGAATAGGGGACGCAAGAGACACTGACAGCAACAGCAGCTCCTGCTTCTTACAGCTTGGGCCCAGAATGCTGGACTAAAATTGATTAATAGATGTGGTCATACTGGGCCAGGAATCGTGTCAGATCATCAACATAAACACCAGAATATGTACTCGTGTACGGAAACTGCCAAATGGCGAGCAATTCAGGTCAACAGTGGATCAGAGCAGGCTGAATCACTTGTGGCCTGGATGTCAAAAGAGTAACATTCTTTCATCAGCTTAAAAAAAAGACTTCTCTACAATGGATACAAGAAAGAAAACATTCTGAAGGTCGGAGGTTTGTTTCTTCTCATGTATTTTAAGTTTTTTGTGTATCTGTAGTACCTGGCTGCAGCAAGTGTAGCCTAGGGGCCCCGGTCACCTTAAATATATATATATATATGTATGTATATATATATATTTATACACACACAGTGCTGTGCTATATTGTGTCCATATTGTGTATTTGTCACACTTACAGGTTTCAGATGATTAAACTACTTTTAATTTTAGACAAAGACAACACAAAATGCTGTTTTCAAATGATGATTTCACTTATCGAAAGAAAAATGCTCTGTGTGAAAAAGTAATTGCCCCCTTAGCTTCCTAATCAACCAGTTACTCAAAATCAATTGACAATTGGATTCAATTTCACTGGCCACACTAAGATATGATTAAGGCACACGATTCCACAATAAGAAAGACACTGGTCAAAAATGGCATCCATAGGAGAGTTACAAAGGGCAAACCACTGCTGACCAAAAAGAACACAGCTCACATTTGCCAAAAAACATCTAGATGACCCCCAAGACTTTTGGGGTAATATTTTGTGAACTGATGAGTCAATGGTGTAACTTTTTGGAAGACATGGGTCCTGTTACATCCGATGTAAAGCTAACACTGCATTCCACCATAAGAACATCATACCAACAGTCAAAACATGGTGGTGGTACTGTGATGGTCTGAGACTGCTTTGCTTCTGCAGGACCTGGACGACTTGTCATAACTGATGGAACCATTAATTCTGCTCTCTACCAGAAATCGGGAAGGATAATGTCTGCCTGTCAGTTTGTGACCTAAAGCTCAAGCACAGTTGGGTTATGCAGCAGGACAACGATCCCCAAGCACACAAGCAAGTCCACCTCTGAATGGCTCAAAAGAAACAAAATTAAGGTTTTGGAGTGGCCGAGTTAAAGTCCTGACTTGAATCTTATTGAGATGCTGTGGCAGGACCTTAAATGGGCAGTTCATGCTTGAAAACCCTCCAGTGTAGCCAGATTAAAACAATTCTGCAAAAAAGATTGGGCCAAAATTCCTCCACAGTGATGTAAAAGACTCAACACAAGTTATCGCAAACGTTTGATTGCAGTTGTTACTGCCAAGGGTGATACAACCAGTTATGCTTAGGGGTAATTAATTTTTCACATGGGTCAAAAAGATTTTGAATCTTCAATAAATGGAAATATCATTTGAAAGCTGCATTTGCTGTGTTTACTCATGTTGTCTTATATTAAAATTAGATGATCTGAAACATGTAAATATGACAAATTAGCAAAATTAGAAAAAGATTTGGTGAGGGGCTTTTTCACAGCACTATATATATATGTGTGTGTGTATATATATATATATATATATATATATATATATATATACATCACATTAACCTTCTTTGTGTGGCCTCTGCTTTTCTCCAGTTTTCTCATACCATAAATCTCATTTTATCTGATCTGTATCCCCAGCCATTTAACACAGTGATGCCTAAGGGCATACAAAGAGAAGACAGATGTCCTAAATTAGCGAACTGGCACTGGTGGAAAGACTACACTATAATGCTTGACGTGAAGATGTATTTGAATGACCAAAAGCCTGTCCTCAGGAGACAGAGATAAAGCAAGCTGCACTGCATATGTAAATGCTTATGTGAAAGAGCTTCATCATATTATGAAAAGAAAGGAGTTGGTTTACATGCTTCTACAGAGAGGGTGTTGTGTTATTCCTTCCATGAACAGATCGGACATGGAATGTGAATTTGTGTGATGGTTGACTAACTCAGTTTAATTGAGCTATCCATGTTTCGCCTACAAATGTGTTCTATAGTGACCGTTGTGAGGTCGGACAAACTTTAAAGATTACTACCAGAGATCCTATTCAAGCTAATGAATTTAGGATTGATCTTAGATTAGCATAAAATCCAATTTCCAGTTTAAGTGCTTCACTAAGAAGCTACACTATGTTGTTGTAACTAATCAAAACTGGTAGATTGGAATCAAAAAAATGAATTTTCCACCATGCTAACGTTAGACAGCTTACATCCCAAAAAACTACACTCATTCTATCCTAACGGCACTGGTGTAAAATCAGGGGAGATGGGCGGACATGTCCCTTCCACTTTGTGAAACTACAAGAGATAATTTTAGTTTATTTTAGTTTATTACTAATAAAATATTTTAAGAAAGACTTTTCCATAAAATCATCCACATTAGTGATAATGTGCTGTCTTTGCAATCTAAAACAGGGTGGCTGAGTGTTGAAGTGGGTCTGTGGGCTGCACACACACTGAGTTTTGGCTAAAAACTTCTCTAGCAGTGTGCAGCAGTGCTTAGCCATAAAGCTAGCCTAACAGCTAACTTCCGTACCTTTTATTTGTATTAACATTATTGTCTGCATATGCTACAAAGTGTCTACATATGGAGCATTAACTTCTCAGCAAAACTTAATTCATACAATAATGGAAAAATGTATTTCTCTTAGTTACTAAAATTCAATTAATAGACATATAGCTTTCTTCAGAATGATGTGGATAATTGTGAAAGGGCTGCCGGACATATGCAATTAATCCCATACATTTTAAACAAGTAATTTAACCCAAAATAGTTTGTACTTGTTGACACAAGGCAATGTTTTTGACATATAAAATACTGAACACCAAACTCTAATTGTAGGTGCATCTTGTTCACTTTATGTTTAGATGCTGTCTACAAAAAAGTGAAGCAAGATCAAGTAAGGTTAAATGTGATTTTTGACAGCGTTCTATAAAAACTTGGCTACCTCCGAACAGTTGCTACAAAGTATGCTGTGGGCAAAGCATGGATAAGAAATGCAGGTGTTTAAAAAAAGTAGATGATGCACAGGAAGATAAAAAGCTAGATCAGCTAATTATTAAGGAATATCATATTAGTTATAATAAATGGAGACCTTGGTTGAGTCACTTAGTTCATTATCAACCCTGGATGTGTAAAAAAGCGGTTAACTCAATTCAGATGAATAACAGTTCATTATGGTCTGGGCAGAGAGGCTTATGGGAAGTTAAAGGAGCTGTGGAGAGTGATGAGTTCACCTCACGGCCACCACTAATGGCGGCTGCATCTGAGGCGAGGTGAGTGGCCCGTGGGCTTTGTTAAGAGCAGGAAGTGCTCTCATAATCGCATCTCAGAGCACACAGTGCCAATGCCATTCCACTTGCACAATCACCCCGCAGGGTTTCTTTAAGAGGCCCTAAAAAAAGAGTAATGCTCGCTGGAAATGAGAAGGAGAAATGGGAGCTGAGCAGAGAGATTGGTGTTGTTGTTGTCGTTAGTGTGCGTGTGGCCTTGTAGGTGGTACTTAGAGTCTGCTAGACTTAGAGAGTCTGCTGAAAAATGAGCCCCAACACGACCCAAACATCTCTTAAAATTAACAGCCACATGCCTGAGTCAGAGTACAGATGGCAAACATTTGCTTTAAGTGTATTAAGGTCATGATTTGGCAGAGAATCAAATTTTCACATCTTTAACCTTAACCTAAATGCAGTCGATCAGCCAAGAAATGTTTGGTGGTAAATGTTTGCTTCTTTTTCTTTGCACTGCAGCTACAGCTATCTATAATGAACAAAAGTATCTATGTAACATACCTTTGTCTATCTATGTATTATGTATGTATGTATCTATCTATCTATCTATCTATCTATCTATCTACACCATTCAAACCACACTTGTAGGACCCCGTTGTTCAAGTACAAATATTCTTCCTCTTACTTCCTGTGCAGAGATCCGTGAGGCATTCCGGGTGCTGGACAGAGATGGGAACGGTTTCATTTCCAAGCAGGAGTTGGGCATGGCCATGCGCTCGCTGGGCTACATGCCCAGTGAGGTGGAGCTGGCCATCATTATGCAGAGGCTGGACATGGACGGTGAATTTTCCTCTTTTTCTATCTAATCCCCTTTCAGACTCTCTTTTTCTCTTAGGCTTATATTTCTCTGAAAACTGTCTCTCTTCTCTCTATCCCATCTCCCACACAGTGTCCTTTAACAGCATACATCCTGTGACTGCCCCACTATACCTTTACTATTTCAAGTAGTACTTCCTTCTAAGCTGTACATGCTCATATCATAATTATAGAAACAAACAAATAAATACATTTTAATTTATGTATGACTGTTTATTTCCAAAATCTAAAAGTGTTTCAAACAGGAAAATCACTAAAACACCGGGAAGATAAAACAACCAAGTCTAAATGAAACAGCTATGGACTACATTCATAAAATCAGTATCTCAAGTGAAAGTCTCCAGACTTCTGAGCTACAAATATAGTCCCAGATTTGACCACTCTGGGTGGCTTTTACATATTTTTTTAAAAATCTGACTGCCTGATCTATAATTAGAGATATGGTCTAGTCGCCAGATAGTGTCTGACCATTCTGCTGAATGTGCTCTAAAGCCATTATAGAGCCATTATGGAACTATTGAAACATAGTTTAACCCCTTAAAATCCCAAGCTTGTTACATACTAAGGCTTATTATGTAGTAATTTCATGGACTACAGTGCAAACTGGCTGAGTTATTCCAAAGTTATAGAAGTGTCTACCAACACTTTGGACCTGCCAGTGGGTCCCCTCCATGTAAGGGGTTAATATTACTTTAATCCATAGAAGACTCTTATTGATATTATAGTTTGTTTGCTTTATTATTTAAATGTAATTACATATTAATTACATGAGGAATTACATTCATATATGATTTACATTCTGTATCAACACCTATGAGAGAGCAAGTCTGCAGGATATGCTGAGTATTACAAACATGCCAATGTAACCAAAATTAGCAGATGCCATAGACGAGCAATTTTGGTTACCTAAACAACCTTTCAATGGATGGTTCTAGAACAGGTCTGTGCAAAGACATTTTGCAGGGCAGTGGAACTCAAGCCAACCTATGAGCTCTATTCACGGGGTGAGGCTAAGCCTCATCTCACTGAAACAGACCATGAAGAATGGCAGATGCAGTATACAATACATTTAATATACACACTCGCTAAGAGGGCGCTTGTACAGGGTTAGGGGCTCAGCCAACCCCGGGGTCTATCTGTGCATGTGCCTGTCCGAGAACCAGTTTTATAAATGAGATGCATGAGTGTTAAGGACTTCACATATGTTCTACACCAGTTAGAGTTTTTTTCTAGGACAGTATGTCCAGGAGTCTGACCCTTAAGGAAGCTTTATTTTAAGAGTGTATGAAGAGTTTTAGGAGTTACATCTCTTGCTTAGTTGTAAAATATAGTGAACGATTTATCCTTAATGGTCCTAATGTACTGGAACGTATACATTTTCCAGAGAACATTAATTTTACTGGCGATCTGGCAATTAGATATTTCTCTTGTAAGATATAATATAAATGTATGTCTGTTGTCTCTCGAGTGTTCCTAGGTGCTGCCTGTACAGTCCTGGTGTGGAATAGTGCTGCAGTAATAAGTATTCAATGGAGGCAAGGAGAAGATTGGAGAGTACATTGAGGTTTTGGGCAGTGAGGACCTTCTAGTGCAATAATTGTTCTTTCTACCTGATGGTTTTAGGTTCAGCTGTCAATATTAGGTTGGAGTTTCTTTAGGTCTGTTGTTCCACAAGGCAGGTTCATCCTGGAGCAATGAGTCTTCCTCCAAAACTACAAGACAGTGAGGACAAGCAGTTGGCCAGACATGAACGACCAGGTTTTACCCCCTTACAGGGCCTATACAACTTACATAACTCCTTAACTTATTTATTAATTTTATAGTAGTTTCGGAGTAATTCATAGTGCATAATAAGCCTAGTTGTTTAAGGGGTAAGTGAAGGGATAACTGAAATCATGTGATAAGCCATTCTACAAGATTGGTTCCCAAATGAATGCATTTTTTTTCCACATCAAGAAATCACAGTTTTTCTGGTTGTTATCAAGTTTAGACCTTCCATCCATTCTACTAATAATTCAATTTTTTTTTTAAATATTGCAAAATATTCTGCCCATTTCTCTGTCTATTTTGGTGCAATGGGGTGGACATGTTTAATGGCCCCTGTTGTGGATAGAAAAAACAATAAAATACTGCTGCTGAAAAAAAGGAAAAATTACCAGCTTTTAAACTTGGTTCCTCTGAAGACTTAAATTATGTCACATCACTGAAAGTGACAGTAAGGCTGGGCAATATGTCAATACAACTTTTATATAGTAATATTTGAGATGCAACTTAACCGATACCTGTTTATGCGGACATACACATGCCTGTATTCCTATTAAATAGAAAGCATACCTTTTTCATATTTTCTCATATCATGTTAATTTGAATAAATATGTTTAGCTTGAAAACACTTATTAGCACATTTTTGTCTCTTACATACACCGTTGAATGTTGTGGCATTTCTTTCATGGAATGACTGCAATCTGTGTGATGAAGTCTAAAATAACCAGCTGAATTAAGGAGAAAACCATTGTAGTGTCAGAATTGTGTTGAAATATTAAAGCCTCATTCAAGCTGTGTCTGGGTTATACAACACTCAATTGAAAGCATGAGTAAACGTTTGAGATGTTTTTTGACTATAGTCTGCCATAGACCACATCATCACTACAAAACACTTCAACACTATTTACTAGCATTAAAAACATTCTCTCTTCACTGCAGGTGACGGACAGGTGGACTTTGATGAGTTCATGACGATACTGGGACCTAAGCTCATCTCAAATGAGACCAGAGAAGGCTTTCTGGGCAGCACTATAGACAACATCTTCTGGCAGGTACAGAAAATGACCCCTCTGCTTTTTTCCTTCATCAATCTCAGTCCTACCTTTAGCCTACCTTTTTGTTTTGCCTCTTCTCTTCTCTTCTCTTCTCTTCTCTTCTCTTCTCTTCTCTTCTCTTCTCCACTATTTATTCCTCATTTAACCCTCCTTTCCTTTCCTTTTTTCTTTCTCCTTGTATCCTGCTCCGTTTTATCCTCTTCTGCTTCTCTCTTTGCTTCTTTACTGAAGCATGCCTTTACATTCTGGGCATGTGGTGGAGATCACTCCTCCCTAAAAGCCTGTTTTCTCTGGATTATGGCACACCCTCTGGCCCCCCTACCTGCTTCTGCCGTCCCATGACGGCCAGCCAAACTGATTCTTCTCCCGAGTCCAGGCTTCAAAGTGAGGAAGGCCTTGACAGAGTGCAGCATTATAGAGTAAAGAGAAGCTCATCTAGATATTAATTCTCTGTTTCATAGCCAAGCATTCTGTAGAGTGAGTTTAACTGGTTTGAGAAAAGCAAATTCATTGACTGTGTGTTGTTACTTGAAAGGAAAGCACAACTAATTTTGACTGGGTTTCAGTGGTAGCTTCAAAATCTGGACTTGGGTTTTGGGATAGCTGTGCTTAGTGATTTTGAGTAAAAGATGAGTAAAATGAATGCCTTTAATCAATAGTTTGGCAGAAATTAATTATACACACATGCACATTACTATTTCTCTCTAACCATTGTTTGTGATAATTAAGGCAACAGTTTGGGGAAAAAATCAAATTGACAGTTTTCCACTCACCCCAAATGTACGATACCACTCAAAAGTTTGGAAAAACTGTTAATAATTTTAGTGACTTTATATACATTATGAAAACATCGTTATCAGTGATATATGGATACTATTTTTTCAGACCAAGCACAAGTACGAGTACATGTTTTCAAGTACTTGTCAGTACTGTTCCCTATGCTATACTGAGTAATGTACTTAGAATTAAGTAGTTGTCAGTGTAAATGAGTGCAATGTACCTTTGCAGTCAAATCAGTAAAAACTAGTTGATTTTAAATGCAGGGCATTAGCCAGCCATACTATATTTGTTATCTTGGATCGAGTAATTTTGCAGTGGAAAAGAGTGGGTTTTGTGCCACATCAGAAAAGCACTTCTATGGAGCTGTAAGTAAATTACATTTCATAGTTTTCAAAAGTCACTTAAAGTTTATGCATCACAGTTCTATTCAGTCAAGCAGAGTAAAGTCAGTATAGACGGACTTTTACTCTGCTTGAGTTTTTTCTCTTCGTTTAGTTAGCCTGCATGTGACCACCTGTATTGGTGAAGTGGTTGTGATTGTGTTTTTTGTGCATTTCAAAATAAGCTAAAATCACATAGTGTGTGTCTAGCAGGAATTTGCTAAGGCGGTATCAGAAGTTGGTATCAATGCATTTTTATGAGGACAAGTACAAGTAAATGAGCATGGTTTTATGACAATACCAGCATCCCTAGTAATAACATTAAGCTGTGAAAGTATAAATAATATACTCTAATTAACAATTTCCTATATTTAAGACCAAGTTATCTGTCTTTTAATTTGGTCAGCATGTTTGAACTACAAGTATTCTGGATATTAATTTTACTTCATTCTTCATGAAACAGCTTTTTAGAATCATCTACATCTCTGTTCATTATTGTGGATGAGGGCTGGCCCAAACAACATTTTACTTGTTAGCTGCATCAGCCTTGTTGTTTTATATTGTGATATACTGAAAATGTGTTGTTAGGCTATAGAGTTTAGGATATACAGTACTTTGCAAAATTTTTAGACTTCATAGACCTTCATTTATTTAATTTTGAGTCAAAAGTTTAAATACTTTAAAGTTATTCATTTTTCATTAAAAAACAGTAGTTTCCAAAACTAAAATTTTAAAAATTATCAAAAGATGTAGAGAAAATGGGACTTTTAACAACCATGCAAGACCACCAAGAGTATCACCACCAGATAAACAGCACTTAAAGCTTTCATCTTTGAGAGATAGTAGAAAATCAAGCTACACTCAAGCTATACTCCAGACCTCAGTGCAACCAACTTTTAAGACTGAACTTTCAATGTGCAGAAAAATGTCTCTGCAGATGTCTTATAAAACTGAAAGCAGGTCTCCTGCAAAGAATGAAAGCTGTAATAAAGGCAAAGAGTGGACACACTCAATACTGAAACTTGAGGTTTTTAATTTTTTTTTATTCATTTTTATTTGCCGAAAATGAAAAGCTTGTAATTAATAATTGTTTTAAGTGAAAAATAAATAAATTTAGCTGGAAATTAAATAAAAAAATAAATAACTGATGGGTGGTCTCTGAATTTTGCACAGTGCTGTATTAACACCTATCTAATACATTTTCTTATGGGAATTCAGCATCAATTATGGTTGATTTAAAGCTACTATTGACTGTGTGTGGTGTGTGTAAGTGTGACTGTGTGTGTGTGGCATGTGCACACGTGTATGTGTGTATGAGCACTGTTTGTGTGGTGTGTGTAACAGCAAGGGCGTAGACACCCTTGTCTCTGGGGTGATTTAGATGCTCACCTCAGCACACCTCTAGTGGGACACAATGACTCATGAATGGAAGTAATTCAGAAAATATCATCACACCCACTGAGTGGAATACCAATCACCCAGCAGCCCCAGCACACACACACACACACACACACACACTGCCCCTTTTATTGCAGTGGAAGCTCCCATATGGGTTTAATAACGCCACACTGACAAGCATTATCGGCTTTATGGGGGAGGAAATATTCCCTGATTTAGACTCACCCCTTCAAAAATTACAACAGAGATTCATCCCTGTTTAATGAGGGATAAGGTCAATCCTCAAATGACACGATAATGATTTTGGAAAATAAATTTCCTCCCTGAAACTTTTTAAATGTTTGACATTTCTTAACACATTAGATGTTAACTGGAACTTTTTTCCTTAGAGATTTAGTTAGAGATCTTTGTTAAATCTTTTGTAAACTGTTAAAAGTAACTAACAGACATTTGTGAATAGAAATACTGTTGTCTTTCTTAAAGAGGAATCCCACAGATTTCTCCAAATGTCTGCATAATTAAATGGTTAAGATATAAACAAAGTCATTCAGAGTGGTGTTGTGTGAAATGCTCTAAAGTGTTTAATGTCTCTAAAAGCTCCCTCACAGAAAGTTATTACATGAAATCATTATGAATATGGTGCCTGATGCCCGAGACATTGTTTTACATTTCATTTTCAGTAGTTTCGAGAAGGTTTTGGACTAAAATGTATATGCTATTCTACCCATTTCAACATTACATATAAAAACTCAGAAGACACATGTAGGTTCACTAGTCATTTTTGATAACAAATAAAATGGATATATTTACATTCATCTGTAAAGAAATCTCAGTAAGCCAGTAGGTTTCTTTATAATGAAGCATCTCACATCAAACCACTCTGAATGACTTTTACATCTCAATTATGTAATAATGCGGAAATTTAGAAAAATTGGTGTAATTCACCTTTTAAGAAGTTTTTTTTTCAACAGTCCTGGTTTTAGTCAATTTGTCCAAATAGAGTGAAAATGCAATGCACTCTTAAGCCCCACCAAACTGACAGAATATTCTGCTGTGCTCTCATTCATAGTCATCACAGAAAGTCAGGCAAGGTCATATGCCATAGCAGATTCAAACTTTTCTGATGTGCTTACAGAGGACCCATGAGGTTCCGACCAATTGAATTACATTACATGCTGTTTTCTTTATTAAAGCACTCTACTGTACATTGATGAACTGGTTGTTTGACATTGAGACGTTAGACAGCATCCTCAGAGGTAAATGTCATGAGCAATTCAGTGAGGCTGAAATTCATTACAACCAAGCTGCTTAGAGAAGCACATGGATCCTAGACTCTCTGGTAAGCAGCTGAATTTATATGCCAGTCACATGCTGTTAGTCATGCTGTGTTTTCAGCACAACTTCTGTTTGAATATGTGTGTCCTTGGGTGTGTCTGACTGTAAATCTGCCCATGTGTTAAGTGCATGAGACTGCATGACTGAGAGGTGTGTGTGTGTGCATGTCTGACTATAAATCTTTCTGTAGTTAAAGGGGAATTCCACTCATTTTTCAAAATTTCTGCATAATGAAATGGTTTAGATGTGAAACAATGAAGTTTAGTGGTTTGATGTGAAATGCACCATTCTAGAAAAAACAAGCCAGAATTGTTCACAGAGGTGATAGGAACCAGACATCTAAAGTGTTTAACCCCTATAAGGTCAACACAAAAATGAAATTATTTCTACCGTTTCTCCATTAATTACGTGATTTCTTAGTGCTGTTGTTGCATTTATTTGTTATGTGAAAAACATGATCTAACAAAGCCAAAAAATATGTTGGTTTTGTTTAGTTTATCTTACAAACACATGAATAGAAATATGTCACACTTAAGTTGTGTTTATTGTTAGTCTGATACACTTGCCTATGGTGATGGTTCCAGTCAATAATAAGCCCTTACCGATACAAACTGCAGTCTAAATGAACTCATTCTGAAAAAAATCACATTACATCCAGCAAAAAGGAAGCCTCTTGCATTTTTTATAAAGTTGTAGGAAACACAGCAGTACATAGAAAGCAGTTCTTCTACATGCTGGACATGCATGCACCATAACTCCTCTGGCAGGCAGGTTTAAACAAGGTTAAGGGGCCATCATCGAATTTAAGAAAACTGACCACTGGCAAGATTGGATAGGGTTAATGCCTTTTAAAGCTACCTCACAGGAAGTTGTATAAAGAGATGGTTATGAATATGTTGGCAGATGCCTGAAACATTGTTTCACCATTGTTTTGAGATGAGGTTTTTGGCCTAAAACGTATTTTTAAAAAATCATTAATTCTAGGCATTATCAGGCAATACTGTCCCCCCAAAAAACATGATTTACCTCTATTTCACCATTATCAACGTTACATGTAAAAACTCAGAAGACACATGTAGGTTCACTGGTCATTTTGGATAGTAA